TTGAGAAATGCTGACCGTGTTCTTCCCTTTTGGTTTTCTAAGTCTAAATCTTTGCATATTTTATTATAGTATTTGGGTTTATCTTCTCAAGCTGATCTTTGAAAATTTCTGTTCAGCTCTTGGACCTCTTCAATTCTTCCATTTGCTTTAGCTTCTCTACGCTGGAGAGGTCCCTTCTGATAACACGTCCCAAGTATGAGAAGTCTTGCCATCTTGGCTTCTAAGGAGCACCTGGCTTTACTTCTTTCAACACAGACTTGTTTGTTCTTCTGGTGGTCCATGGTATTTTAATATTCTTCTCCAACACCATAACTTGAACGCATCAATTCCGCTATGGTCTTCCTTACTCACAGTCCAACTTTCGCATGCATACAAGGCTATTGGAAATATCATGGCTTGGGTCCTTAGTCCTCAAACTGACATCTTTGCTCTTGAACACTTTAAATAGGTCTTGTACAGCAGATCTGCCTAATGCAACAAATGGTTTGATTTTTTTTTCTTTTTTTTTTTAATGTTTTATTGTGAATTATGCGATAGTTTACATGGGAGAACATTAGCTTTACATTCATCCTATTGTATATCATTTCATTGCCATGGTTACAATCCCCTCCATGTATCATCAAACAACCAAATGGTATACCCTGCAAGCCTGTCCCTCCTTCCCCCCACCCCTTGTCAGCACACAGCCCCTCTCCCTCTCTGGGTCTAGAGTCCCCAGCCACTCCATCTCTCCATGTTGTTGTCTCTGACTCCATTTCTGGTGTCACTGTTTCTCTGGGCAGGGTCCCACACGTCGCTCTTCTCCTTTGATGGTCCCAGGGTCCTCCGCGTCTGGACTGCAAAGTCAATCACTTCCTTCCTTTTGCTACAAAACATTACGTTTACATTTCCAACCCTCACAGTCAGTCCTGATACATTGTTTGATTTCTTGACTGCTGCTTCCATGAGTTTTGATAGTGGGTTGAAGCAAAATGAAGTCTTAGACAACTTCATTCTTTACTCCATTGATCATGATTTTATTTACTGAACCAGTTGTGAGGATTTTTTTCTTTATATTGAGGTCCAATCCTTACTGAAGGCTGTGGTCTTTGATCTTTATCAGTTAGCATTTTAAGTCCTCTTCCATTTTAGCAAGGAAAGTGGTACAATTTGCATATCACAGATTGTTAAAGAGTTTTCTTCCAATCCTGATGCCATATTCTTCTTTGGAATTCAGCTTCTTGGATAATTTGCTCAGCATACAGACTGAATAAGTATGGTAAAAAAAATTCAACCCTGACACATACCTTTCCTGATCTTAATCCATTCAGTATTTCCTTGTTCTGTTCAAATGACTGCCTCTTGGTCTATGTTCAGGTTCCTCATGAGCACAATTAAGTGTTCTGGAAAAGTCACTCTTCTCAGTGTTATTCAAAGCTTGTCATGATCCATACAGACAAAAGTCTTTGAATTGTCAATAAAGCACAAGTAAACATCTTGCTAGTATTCTCTGCTTTCAGCCAAGATCTATATGACATAAGCAATGATATCCCTTTTTCCACATCCTTGTCTGAATCCAGCTTGAACCTCTAGCAGTTTCTTGTCAGTGTACTGTGGCAACCATTTTTTAATTATCTTCAGCAAAATTTTACTTGCATGTGATATTAATGCTATTGTTAGATGATTTACACATTCCGTTGGGTCACCTCTCTTTGGAATGGGCACAAATATGGATCTTTTCCAATTGGTTGGCCAGATAGGTGTCTTTCAAATTTCTTGGCATAGATGAGTGAGTGCCTCCAGTGCTTCATCAGTTTGTTGAAAGATTTCAATTTGTATTCTGTTAATTTCTGGAATCTTGTTTATCACCAATGTCTTCAGTGCAGCTTGGACTCAGTCCATCAAGAACCACTGGTTCTTGATCATATGCTACCTCTTGAAATGGTTGAACATTCAACTTTTTTTTTTTTTTTTTTTTGCACAATGACTCTATACTTTCTGTCTCCTTTTTATGTTTTCTACATCATTCAGCATTTTGCCCACCGAGTCCTTCAATATTGTAAGTCAAGGCTTTAATTTTTTCTTCAGTTCTTTCAACTTGAGAAATGCAGAGCATTTCTGGGGGCAGCAGCCAATTTTACTTCATGACTCTGAACCATAACTGCATCATCAACTGGTGATGGGCCTTGGGCTGTGGCTGCCCCTACTGTTCCCAGCTCTCCCCTCAACAGCCAGACTTCCCTGGCCACCCCTCTTTTCCCTCCCTGGGCTTTTGCTTTTACTGGCTTGATTCACTGGAGCCTGCTGGGAACATGACCTCTGATGGCTGAAGCATTTGTGATCACGTGACCATCCTCTTCCCCAACATATTCTCTCCCACACACTGTTCCTGTCCCCAACTTCTGGGGAGAGGCACAGCTTACCCTTACCAGGCATTGAGCAGGCCCAGCCCTGCTTCCTTTCCTACAATGGACAGAAGAGTGCTTGGGCTGGGACCCCTTCCCACTGCATTTGCATGTCAGGGGAGTGGCTCCCCACTTGAATATATCAGACCCTGGGGGGGGGGGTCACTGGGCCCTAGGTTTTAGGGGGGTCACGGGCCACTGAAGGCAGAGGCAGGGACCATTTCCTCATTTTCTGAAAGCACTTTAATGATTCCCCTCCTCCTAAGCCCCAGGGAATGGAGGGGGACCAACCCCAAAAACATTCCCTCCTTTCCACCTTCTCCTATCTCCACTTCTATAGCCCTTCACTGGTGGCGGGAGGGAGCAGGAAGCTCTCACCCCCAGACCTCCTTACTTGCATCTGTATATAGATAACCAACCCTTTTGATGGTCTAATTCCAGGTTCTTGTGCATTTAATTTTAATACTTGACTCTGTCTACTCAATCTGCCATGTCAAATTTTCTGTTCAGCTGTTTTACTTCCTCATTCTTACATTCACATTAGCATCTCTATGCTGGGAAGCAAGTTTCAGAGTCTCTTCTGACACCCATTTTGGTCTTTTCTTTCTTGTCTTTTTCATGGCCTTTTGCTTTCTTGCTGTATGATGTTCTTGAAGTCATCCCACAATTCTTCTGGTCTCCAGTCTAATGCATCAAATCTATTCTTGAGATGATCTCTAAATTTAGGTGGGTTACGTTCACAATCATATTTTGACTCTGTGGACTTATTTTAACTTTCTTCAGCTTCTGCCTGAACTTGCATATGAGCAAATGATGGTCTGTTCCACAGGCCGTCCTTGGCGTGTTTGGGTTGATGATATAAAGTTTTTCTACCGTCTCTTTCCAAAGATGCAGAGAATTTGATTTCTGTGTATTCCATCTAGTGAGGTCCATGTGTATAGATAACTTTTATGTTGTTTTAAAAAGGTATTTACAATGAATAAGTCCTTGGTCTTACAAAATTCTATCATGTGGTCTCCAGCAATATCTATCACCAAGGCCATAGTTTCCAACTACTGATCCTTCTTGTCTTTAGTCTTCACATTCCAATCACCAGTAATTATCAGTGCATCATAATTACATTTGATCAATTTTAGACTGATGAAGTTGGCAGAATTCTTCAATTTCATCATCACTGTCTTTAGTGATGGGTGTGTAAATGCAAATAATAGAATGTTAACTTCTCTCCCTAGAAGGTTTATGTATTTTATCCTATCAGACAGGACTGTACTTCAAGACAGATCTTGAGATGCTCTAGCTGACAATGAATGTGACGCCAATCCTCTTGAATCTGTCGTTCCCGACATAGTAAACCACATGACTGTCAGATCCAAAATGGCCAATATCAGTCCATTTCCACTCTCTAATATCTAGTATATCGATCTTTTTGTGTTCCATTTTGTTTTGACAATTTCCAATTTTCCTAGAATCAAACATCATACATTCAATGTTTAGATTATTAGTGGATGTTTGAAGCTGTTTCTCTTCACATTGAGTTAGGTCCCATCAGGAAATAAAGGCCCTGAAAGCTTCACTTTAATTGCATCATCCCTTTGAGGAGGCAGCTCTTCCTCAGTCATATTTTGAGTGCCTTCCAATTTGAGGGGCTCATCTTCCAGCACTGTATCTGACAATGTTCTGCTGCTATTCATAAGGTTTTCAGTGGTAGTTGCCTTTCCTACTTTCGAATCTTTCTTAGTCTGGAAGATCAGTTGAAACCTGTCCATCATGGGTGACCCTGTTGTTACTTCAAATACCAGTGGCATGGCTTTCAGTATCTCAGAAACACCCAAGCTACCACAGTAGGGCAAACTGATAGATGAGTGGTGGACATATAATACTAGGGGATATGAACAGCAAATCCCTGGAATTCTTTGTGATGTTGAGAAACAATAGCTTCATATTTTGACATATCTGTTTAATACAAGGTTTCTATTATTTTGTACCAATTCTTTTGACTGACCCTCACATTTGAATATAATAATTGATTAATAGTTTCTAATTTATGCCACAAGAAGTGTTTTTCTAAGAAAAGTGTCTTCAGAAAATTGTCACAGACTGATAGGAAATTAGTTCAAAAAACATAATAATTTCTAGGTATCTCTCAATCAGAACAGAAAGATTAATATTGCTCAAGTCTATACAAGGAAACTGTGTTCTCATTTAGCAAATACAAGGAAAGACTGAAGCTACCTTGTAGGTGTCCACATACCGATCTTCCTTTTCTTTGTACTGCACAGCTATTGGCTTAGAGAGATTTCTACAAAGGAAGGACAAAACATTAACCAGCTGACATTGCCTTGGGCAAGCAAGCTCCCAGTTGTCTGTACTCTATAAGTCAACAATTAATAATCAACAAAATTCTCGGATTACACATGTTCAGCAAACTTTGACCAATGAAATTCACTGCTCACACATGTTGATTTGTAACTAACAATCATCATTCAGAATTCAATTACACAAACAGAAGATGGAATTTCCCCGGCAGGTCTAGAGACATATTAGGGATTTCTGACCTATGAGGAACTCCCATAGGAGTTGCTGCTGCTCTTGCATGGCCATCTGTTCAGCTGCTTCCTCCACACCTGGAAACCACTATTGTCCAGACTCTGCGGCCATTGAAGCAGTACAAAATGCAAGACAACTTGGACAAAAGTTACAATCAGGAAGCAGCACTATTTCATTAGTAGGCGAGGCAGTAAATGGAAGATGTTACACAAGCTTAAAACATTGAGCTGTGATTTGGAGTGTGCCCTGAAATAAAGACTCTGTTCCTCTTGGGAAAGCTGTGTAAGCGGTGCAGAGTCGGCACATGTGTGCATGAGTATCTGCAGTGTTAGTCATATGTGTGTATGTCTGCAGTGTTAGTCACATGGCTAGGCGGCAATAGGATTCAAGGAATGAAGTCTCCCTTTTATACGGGACAGAATCAAGGTGTGTCTTTGTGTGGCACTTGAATGAAGAAGAATAGTCTGTGAGTATGGGAGTCTATCCTGGGCTTACCAGGGTTACACAGAGTTTTGACATCTAGCCCCGTAGCTGGGGCTAGATGTATCAAGATTTGCCCAAATTTCAGAGTCAATCAAACTTTGCTTAGCCAGATGATGCTGACATCGTTGTTTTTTTTTTTTTTTAATGAATGATTATTTTCCCCCAAGGCCAGTTGCCATTAAGTTAATTCTGTATTCTGAGGAGGACTCTTCTCCACAGGGTTCAAGGCTGTGGCAACTTGTAGAAGCAGACTGCTATTCCTTTTCTGAGATGCCTCTAGGTGGGTTCAAACCACCAACCTTTTGGAATCAGGCGTTAAGTACTTAATCATCTGTACCACCCATGGGTGGTCCGTATTATTTTAACAGGGATACTTAAATTAGTGATATTAAAACACAAATTGTGTTTCTGATACTTGTCCAATCATAAAAACTTTGTTAAAAAAGCAAAAACAGCTTTATAGCATAGGCACAAAAACAAGAAGAAATCCTGTTTGAGATGCAGAAAGAAAACTTTTTATAAATAGCTGCCTTTAGCTAAAAGTAATATTTTTTGTTGACAAATCAGAAGTCACGCATGAGCAAACAAAATAAAACAGGAATTATCCTCAATACTATCATCTAGAGGTAAATTTTGGAATGTAGCATGTTCGATGTTTTCTGCTTATCTGTACGTTCATATTCACCTTACTAACGAAAACAAGGCCGTCTACTCTGGTAAAGGTTTATAGCCTCAGAAATTCAATACAGGGTTGTTATGAGTTGGAATCGACTTGTCATTAAGTTTGAGTTTCAATTTGACACCTTATATGAAGGAGCTTCAAAAAGTTTGTGAAAAATTCCATTACCTTTCCATTCCACTTTTTCGATGAATTTTTTTGAAGCTCCCTTGAATCATTTTTAATGGCTGTAACAAATGACAAAATACTCAATTTACTGTTGGGCATTTAGGCTGTTTCTGAGTATTTTGAAGACTTGTCTTGAAGGTTAAATGGTTGCAGGCAGTCTAGGCACTGTTTTAGCCTAGGCACTAAACTACACAGATTTAGTCCCGGCCCTCATGAATCTGAATTATATGTTGTTGTTGTTGTTGTTGTTGTTAAGTGCCATCAAGTTGGTACCGACCCATAGCGACCCTATGCACAGCAGAACGAAACACTGCCTGATCCTGGGCCAACCTCACCACTGTTGCCACACTTGCGTCCACCGATGCTGCCACTTGGCTACTCCATCTCATTGGGGGGGGGGGGGTCTTCCTCTTTTTCTCTGACCCTCCAACTTACTAAACATGATATCCTTCTCCAGTGACTGGTCCCTCCTGACAATATGTCTGAAGTATGAGAGACAAAGTTTGGTCATCTTGGCCTCTAAGGAGCACTTTGGCTGCCCATGGCAATTTCAACATTCTCCTCCAACACCATAACTCAAAAGCATCAATTCTTCTACGGTCTTCCCTATTCACTGTCCAGTTTTCACATGCATACGAGGTTATTGGAAATACCATGGCTTGGGTCAGACATGCCTTAGTCCTCAAGCTGACATCTTTGCTCTTCAACACTTTAAAAAAGTCTTGTGCAGCACATTTGCCTAATGCAATACGTCCTTTGATTTCTTGACTGCTGCTTCCTGAGTGTTGATAGTTGATCCAAGAAGAATAAAGTCCTTGATAACTTCAATCTTTTCTCCGTTGATAAGAATGCTGTTTATTGGTCCAGTGGTGAGGATTTTTGTTTTCTTGACATTGAGATGTAAGCCATACCGAAGGCTGTGCTCTTTGATCTTCATCAATATATGTTTTAAGTCCTCTTCACTTTCTGCAAGCAAGGTTGTATCATCTGCATATCGCAGGTTGCTAAAGAGTCTTCCTCCAATCCTGATGCCATGTTTTTCCTCATATAAGCCAGCTTCTTGGATGATTTGCTCAGCATACAGGTTGAATAAGTATGGTGAAAGCATACAACCTTGTCACACACCTTTTTAAATTTTAACACACATCCAGTGTTCCTATGTTCAGTTCGAACAACTGCTTCTTGGTCCAGGTACAGATTCTTCATGAGCACAGTTAAGTGTTCTAGAATACTCATACTTTGCAATGTTGTACACAGCTTGTCACGATCCACACAATCGAAAGCCCTTCCATAGTCAATAAAGTACAGGTAAACATCTTTCTGATATTCTCTGCTTTCATCCAATATCCATCAGACATTAGCAATGATATCCCTCATTCCACGGCCTCTTCTGAATCCAGCTTGAACCTCTGGAAGTTCTCTGTCAATGTAGCTGTTTCTGTATTACCTTTAGCAAAACTGTACTCGCATGGGATATCAAAGAGATTGTCCGATGATTTCCGCATTCCGTTGGGTCACCTCTCTTTGGAATGGGCACAAATATGGATCTCTTCCAATCAGTCGGCCAGATAGTTGTCTTCCAAATTTCTTGGCAGAGATGAGTGAGTGTCTCCTGTGCTGCCTCACTTTCTTGAAAGATTTCAATTTTGATTCCATCAATTCCTGGTGCCTTGTTCTTTGCCAATTCCTTCAATGCACCTTGGACTTCCTCCCTGAGTATCATTGGCTCTTGATCACATGCTACCTCTTGAAATGGTTGAACATTAACCATTTCCTTTTGGTATAGTGACTCTGTGTATTCCTTCCATCTTCTCTTGATGCTTTCTGCATCATGCAATAATTTGCCCAATGAATCTTTCAATAACAAAAGTTGAATATATGTATCCAACTCTATTCTGTGTGGATTTGAACATATTTCATAATAAAGCCTTGAATAAAATAAATAGAGCAAATGAGCGAAACTGAAAGCCGATGTTCACTCACCTGTAGATGGATGGGTCACTGAGGTCCAATGTGTCACTGACATAGTCAGCCAGTATAAAGGGGAACACGGGGTACTGCATGAGATCATTGAAGGAGCGGCCTGCATGTTTGTTTAGATGCGTCAGATATTCAAAGTTAGTAATGTGTCCTGTGTACCATAAGTTTGTCAGAGCCGTGATATTTCCATATTCCAGAAGATTAGGGAGGTTATTTGCTAGTATACTGTGGTAGACATCATCACGAATCTAAAAGGAAAAGGGTTGAGGGAAAGGACACCTCAGTTTTACTTTCAGGCTCATTGGCATTTTTCATGTAAGCACCCATGCTATTCTGGACATGCTACTAATCTCAAGTGCTCCAAGAAAATACTTTTTTGCCCAATAACATTAGTTGTTAGAGAACTGAGATTCAAATCCAGCTCTTTCTCCATGTCTATATTACATGCCAGTCCTATTCAGGGTACTGGACTAACACCACTTAACAGAGTCCTTACATTCTATCAGATAGTGTAGGATGCTAACAAGTCCTATAGAGAAAAACAGAGCAAAGGAAAGGAACAAAGGAATGTGCAGGGGTAGGATGAAGATATAGATGAGTTGCTATTTTATAGAGTCAAGGAAGGGCTTCGTGATGAGGAGACATTTGATCAGAGAACCTGAAGGAAATGAAGGAATCAATCACGTAAGTATCCAATGGGCAAAGCATTCCAGGCAGAGACCTATGAGTGTGCTGAGAGTCAAAGCAAAGTGTGAAGAGAAGAGGGAGTGCTAGAATGGAATAAGCTGAGGTAGAGAGAAAACAGACACAAGATAATTCAGGGCCTGATTAGGCTGTTAAGGACTGGCTTTAACTGGGTGACACAGGAAGTGACTGGAAGTTTTCAGTAGAGGTGTGGCATGATGTCATAGACTCATAGGCTGACTCATAGGCTGCTGTGTTGAGAAAAGTCTGAAGCCAGGCAAGGATGAAAGCAGAAAGGCTGTTGTCACTGTGACTTGAGCTGCGACGGTAGCAGTGGAAGTGGTCTTGGTGCAGACATATTGTGATGATAGAGACAATAGGAATTGCAGACAGAGTACATGTGAGAGACCAGAGAATGACTTGTCCGGACAATTCCCAGGTTTTTGGTCTTACAACCAGACAGATACAGTCACCATTTATGAGATGGGAAAAACTGATTCCGGGGGAAAGATTAGAAATTCTGTTTTGTATTGAAGTTTGAGGTGCCAATTAGCCTTTCAAATGAAGGCACAAGGCTCAAAGTTGAATAAGTGAACAAAGCATTCAGGGGAGAGGTTTTGGGGATGTTGTTAGAGATGGTATTTAAAACTATTCCCATGCAGGGTCACTATGAGTTGGAATTGACTCAATGGCTCAAAACAACAACATGGCATGAAAGAGACGGGCCTAAGAAATGAACCCTGAGGCTCTCCAAGGAAGAACTGGTTAAAAAAAAAAATAAAAAGACTGAGAAGGAACATATGGGGAGGTAAGGGGAGAACTACTAGAAAGTGCTAAGAAGGAAGGAGTTGTTAAGTGCCATCGAGTCAATTCCTACCCATAGCAACCCTATATAGGGTTTCCAAGGAGCAGCTGGTGAGCTTGAGCCACTGACCTTGCAGTTCAAATGAGTGCATTGCAATTAGTTATTCCTATCGCTACTGTTGTTAAGTGCTGTCAAATCCATTCCGACTCATAGCAACACTAAGACTCAACAGCAATCATTAAGACTAGACTTACACTGGTCACATATGATCACCTAAAACCACACATCCATTAGCGAAGCTGAATTTACCTTGGTGTTATCAAATGCTAACAGGAGTGTTCTTCCATTTGTTAAAAAGATTTCTACAGCATTCTCTCTCAATTGCCACCAACGCTTATGAACTTCTTTAATTTCTTCATATGTCCAAGAAAATGATGCTGGCTCTAACTCTCCCTGGAGGCTCTAGACAAAGGAAATCGATAAAAATATTTGTGTGACACTAAATAAAAAGAATGGCTTTAATTTTAGAGTTTAAAAAAAAAATCACAAAAACAAGAAAGAAAGGCTTTTTTTCCCTCCCCACGCAGCGCAATGAAAACCCTCTCACTGTAAGATGCTTCAAAATGTTGGATGCAATTTAACAAATGCTCTTGCATGTTGAAAACAGGTAAAATTAAATCCTCAGGAATCCAAAGCCAAAAGTAATTTGAAAACCAGCAGTAAGGAGGAAGTGACAATTGACTGCCCAGCTGTTTGAGCTGTTTCAGACGCTGAGTAACTTGGGCTAACATCCATGGGGCAGAAAATGAGGCTGCGGACTCCCTGGAATCACAGTGCAGGAACAGAGATTGCTTTAAAAAAGAAAACCTAGGAAGAGACCCAGTGAAAGAACAGACACAAAAAGGTGTCCAGCAGAGCCACTCCCCTGAAGAGTCTCCTGTCTGAGCCTGCTTGCACAAGCATGGAGGCTAAAATAAATCTATCTGCAGGGCCTGGAGAGCTCCACCTTAGAGATGAACAGGAAACCTTTGAGCAGACCTGGTTGTACTGTGTGCTTCCCTTGACTGTATTTGGCAAGTGATGTGTTGTTTTGGTTTTTTTTTTTTAATGTTTTATTGTGAATTATGTGATAGTTTACATGGGAGAACATTAGTTTTACATTCATCCTATTGTATCCTTTCATTGCCATGGTTACAATCCCTTCCATGTATCATCAACCAACCACAGGGTATACCCTGCAGGCCTGCCCCTTGGTCGTCAGCACACAGCCCCTCTCCCTCTTTGGATCTAAAGCCCCCAGCTGCTCCATCTCTCCACGTCATCGTCTCTGCCTCCATCTCTGGCGTCACTGCTCCTTTGGGTACAGTCCAACTCTCCGCTCTTCTCCCTTGATGGTCCCAGGGACCTCTACTCCTAGACTGCAAAGTTAATCACTTCCCTCCTTGCTACAAAATGTCTACCTTTACATTTCCAACCCTCACAATCAGTCCTAATAACAATTATTCACTACTGTATCACAAGAGACCTATCCACATTTCCTTTCATCAGCCCCACCTAGACAGATTGGATACTACTCAGTGGAGATTCTACCTTCTTCCATGCCCTCTGGATTTAGGTTCCCTCTAGAAAGCTTGTAAGCCAGTCACTTCTTGCCTTTGTAGCCCCCCCCACTTTGGGTAGCCAATATCCAAGTTGCCCATCCCTGTGTACTCTTGTGTACAGAGGGGGTGGGAATGATCCTCGTTGTAAAGATTTGTTCCCTCTTTTGAGCTACTGAATCCATAGTTGTAGGTCAAGTTCATCAAATTGTATCAGATCACTGGTTTTTTTTCCCTCGTCTTTCTTCTTCTAGTTGAGCTTTGATCATCCAGTCATTGAAGCCAGGTCAAGTGGGTATTATCTACAAGTGTCGGTGTTCTTGTGCATATGCCCTCTCTTCTTATCAGCTGGACACTTCACTCTTCACTCTAGTCCTCTGTAGCTAAGTCACTGACTCTGGGCCCAAGAGTCCCCAGGTCTTGCCAAACTTCTGGCCAACCGGTTCTCCACCTGGGTTCACAGGAGTCTATTGAACATTGTAGGGCTTAGATCGCAGCTTCATTGTTGTTTTTCCCTCACTTCCCCTTATTGGTGATGAACGTGGTCACCAATCAGAGTGTGTATTCCCAATGAATCTTAGTCTTGAAGGGGGCTTTGCTGTGAGGGGATAGATGTGTTTTTTATAAACTGAAGGTTCGTGGCAACCTTGCACCAAGCAAATCTATTGGCCTACTTTTCCAACAGAGTGCGTTCACTTCATGTGTGTGTCACATTTTGGTAATTCTCACAGCATTTCAAACTTTTTCATAATGCGATTACACACTTAGTAGACTACAGTACAGTGTAAACATAACTTTTAAATGTACTGTGAATCCAAAAAAATTGTGAGTCACTTTATTGCGACAGTCACACTTCATTGTGGTGATCTGCAGCCAAAAACTGCAAATGTCTCTGAGGTATGCTTGCACTTTCCAGGTCCCCAATCATCTAGCTCAGCCACGAGGAATCTCAGGCCAAACTCCTGCCACCAATGAACGCAGCACAGGACGATGTTGAGTGCCATCGAGTTGGCTCTGACTCACAGTGACTCTGTACAGGGTTCCCAAGAAGCAGTTGGAGGGTTTGAACCGCTGACCTTCTGGTAAGCAGTCCTACAGTGCCACCAACGCTGGGATCATGAAAAAAAAACTTCTACCAAAGTTAAAACCAGTCAAACTTTATTTCCTCAAATAAACCTATATACGAGTTTTTGTTTTTAAAATTCAGTTTTCCCTTTAAGAATATTTTTATTTACCCTTTTGTATTGGCTAACAGGAAATTCAGAATGAAGTCTAGAACTCAAGTATAATACCAATTTATTCCAGACTTTCAATTTTCTGAAACTTGACTTTAAAAATTCCAACTGCCCTACTCTATATTTATTTTAAGGAGTCCTGGAGGGTCTATTTAACTCTGTACTGGGTCCCAAGTAATTTTTAGAAATAAAAACAGAAACAAACAAAAGGCTCTACATAAAATAAATTACAATGTTTTAATTAAATGTAATATTCTTATGCTTAAAACAGAATTCCTCCTTTACCTTCAACATTCATTCATTAATTTAATTTAAAATATGAGGGTAAGTCAAAAAATTGATACAAAATCATAGAATTCATTATTAAACAGAAGTATAGTGCTGTAGAATAAGCAATGTGCTGCTAACCAAAAGGTCAGTGATTCAAACTCATGAGCTGCTCCTTGGAAACCCTATACAGGGTCGCTATGAGTTGGAACCAACTTGACGGCACTGAACAACATCAACAAGACCAAAATGGAAGCTATTTTTACATTGTTTCTTGGCATGTCGTCCATCTAGGTCTATACACTTCTGAAGGCAGTGTTTCCATCTCTGTAACCCTTCCCCAAACAGTTCTCGGACAACGAATTTACACCATGTGAAAAGGCACCCTTGAGGGGATACAGTGTTCCTTAGAAATGTTCTCTGAGTTTGGGGAGCGAAAAAAGTCTGAAGGTACAGATCAGGGGCTGTACGATGTTAGAGGTGAAGTTTCACAGTGAAATCTCCAGAAGACAGCCCTTGTTGCACTTTAATAATGAGCAGGCCCACTGCTATGCTAGAACACATTCCTTGGTGTAACTTTTCTGTTTTTTTCCTCACCAATACAAATTTCAAGTCTCAAAAAATTTCTTTCTAATAAGCTGTGTGATGTTCCTGTACCCTATGAGATAATCTAAAAAGGTGGTCTTATGGGATTCCACAATACACAATTGCTATAGCCTTCTGACCACCATTCATCTGTCAGTTTGTTGTACTGTGGTGGCTTGTGAGTTGCTATGATTCTGGAAGCTACGGCACGGATATTTTAAATACCAGCAGGGTATTTAAATATTCACATATTACAATGAAATGGGCAAAAATCTGGAGTCAGAAAACCAAAAGGGAAGAACACGCTCAGCATTTCTCAAGCTGAGAGAACTGAAGAAAAAATTCAAGCCTTGACTTTCATTACTGAAGGATTCTCTGGGCAACTTATTGAATGATTCAGAAAGCATCAAAAGAAGATGGAAGGAATACACAGAGTCACTGTACCAAAAGAAAATGGTTGATGTTCAACCATATCAAGAGGTAGCATATGATCAGAGCCAATGATACTGAAGGAGGAAGTCCACGGTGCACTGAAGGAACTGGCAAAGAACAAGGCACCAGGAATTGATGGAATAAAATATTAAATCTTTCAAGAAAGTGAAGCAGCACAGGAGGCACTCACTCAGCTATGCTAAGAAATTTGGAAGACAACTGATTGGAAGAGATCCGTATTTGTGCCCATTCCAAAGAGAGGTGACTCAACGAATGGAATGCAGAAATCATCAGACAATATCTTTGATATCCCATGTGAGTTAAGTTTTACTAAAGGTAATACAGAAATGGCTGCAAGCATATATTGACAGAGAACTTCCAGAGGTTCAAGCCAGATTTAAAAGAGGCTGTGGAATGAGAGATATCATTGCTGATGTCCGATGGATCTTGGCTGAAAGCAAAGAGTGCCAGAAAGATGTATACCTGTGCTGTATTGACTATGCAAAGGCTTTTGACTATATGGATCGTGACAAGCTATGGACAACACTGCAAAGTATGAGTATTCTGGAACACTTCATTGTGCTCATGAGGAATCTGTACATGGATCAAGAGGCAGCTGTTCGTACAGATCATGGGAACACTGAATGGTTTAAAATTAAGCAAGGTATGTGTCAGGGTTTTATTCTGTCACCATACTTATTCAACCTGTATGCTGAGCACATAATCCAAGAAGCTGGGTTATATGAAGAAAAAAGTGACATCAGGATTGGAGGAAGACTCATTAGTAACATGTAGATGATACAACGTTGCTTGCTGAAAGTGAAGAGGACTTAAAATATTTATTAATGAAGATCAAAGAACACAGCCTACGGTATGGATTGGATCTCAATGTAAAGACAACAAAAATCCTTACTACTGGACCAATAAACAACATTCTTATCAATGGAGAAAAGATTAAAGTTGTCAAGGACTTCATTCTTCTTGGATCAACCATCAACACTGATGGAAGCAGCAGTCAAGAAATCAAACGACTTGCATTAGGCAAATCTGCTGCACAAGATCTTTTAAAGTGTTGAAGAGCAAAGATGTCAGCTTGAGGACTAAAGTGTGCCTGACCCAAGCCAGGGTATTTTCAGTAACCTCATATGCATGCAGAAAGCTGGACAGTGAATAAGGAAGACCGTAGAAGAATTGATGCTTTTGAGTTATGATGTTGGAGGAGAATATTGAAAGTGCTATGGGCTGCCAAAAGAACAATAGACAGATCTGTGTGGGAAGAAGTACAGCCAGAGTGCTCCTTGGAAGTCAGGATGGCCAAACTTCGTCTCTCATAATTCGGACATATTGTCAGAAGGGACCAGTCGCTGGAAAAGGATATCATGTTTGGTAAGGTCAGAGAAAAAGAGTAAGACCCCTAACGAGATGGATTGGCCAAGTGGCAGCATCAATGGGCTCAACGTGGCAACAATTGTGAGGCTGGCCCAGGATGGGGCAGTGTTTTGCTCTGTACTGACTCGATGCCATCTTAACAATAACAACAACATAGCCTTCTGAGGAGTCCTGGTGTGATGGTGCAGGTTAACATGACAGACTGTGAAGCCATTTGAACTGCAAGGTTGGTGGTTCAAGCTCACCAGCTGCTCCTTGGAAACCTTATACAGGGTCACTATGGATCATACAACTCGATAATAACATAGACTTCTGAGCTGACCTCTCTGCCTTGAATTTAAATGAATTTAACAGAAAATCCTTTCAGAAGCCACCGCTTCCATTGAACAATTTTTTTTTTTCTTTTTTAATAAAGGTACCCTAACGAGACTAAGGCAAGTGTATTACTGAGAAAAATTAGTCTGCAGCCATCCACGAATCACAAATCACAGAGACAAGTTGAAATTTGTTTTGAATAAGTCGGTACATGTGTGAACTGGAACCCTAGTAGAAATCCTTTTTGATGTGCCCTCATATTAAATAAGCATCTATAAGCAAATCCACCCTATCCCACCCCACCCCACCCCACCCCCCACCACACACACACCCTTTAAACACTCTGTATGTTATAACAAGGAGGCCACCACCACAGGGGCACGAGGCATTTGTACACAGACTTAAAACGCAAGAAAGCAAATGTCATACAAGTAGTACAGACAAATGCCACAGAAGTCCAGAGCAAAGAAGGGTAATCTTAGGAGAGTTTGAAAGGGGGAATTACATCACTTGTTGCTGTTGTTATTGTTAGGTGCTGACTCATAGCAATCCTATGCACAACAGAACGAAACAACCTCACAATCGTTGCCTCACTTAAACCCATTGTTGCTCCCACTTTGCCAATCCGTGTTGTTGGGAGGTCTTCCTCTTCTTTGCCAACCCTCCAACTTTACCAAGCACGATGTCCTTCACCAGCAACTAGTCTCTCCTAGTAATATGTCCAACGTATGAGAGCTGAAATCTGGCCATCCTGGCTTCTAGGAGCATTTTAGCTGTACTTCTTCCAACACCGATTTGTTCGTTCTTCAGGCATTCTGTGGTACTTTCAATATTCTCCTCCAACACTAAAAGCTCAAATAAATGCATCAATTCTTCTACGGTCTTCCTTACTCACAGAAAATACCAGGGCTTGGGTCAGGAGCACATTAGTCCTCACACTGACATCTTTGGTTTTGAACACTTTATTGACGGCTTATGCAGCAAATCTGCCTAAATCAATATGTTGTTTGGTATCTTGACTGCTGTTTCCATGAGTGTTGACGGTTGATATGACAAAAATTAAGTCTTTGCCAACTTCTATCCAAATTTATTTTGATATAATTTATTTATTTAAATGGAGTAAAGCTTTTGGGACCTTCATTTACTGATGGGGAATAATTCAAAATGAGAAGAAATAGCTGTAAATATCCACTAAAAATCAGAACATGTAATGTGTGAAGCATGAACTTAAAAATATTGGAAGTTGTCAAAAATGAAATGGAATACCTCAACATCAATATCCTAGGCATTAATGAGTTGAAATGGATGGGTATTGGTCATTTTGAATTTGACAACCACATGGTTAACTATGCAGGGAATGACACATTGAAGAGAAATGGGAACGCATTCATCATCAATAAGAACATTTCAAGATCTATCCTGAAGTACAACGCTGTATGTAGCACCAACCACTAAAGCCAGTGATGATGAAAGCAAAGAATTCTACTAAATTCTTCAGTCTGAATTTGATCAAACATGTAATCAAGATGTATTGATAATTACTGGTGACTGGAATACAAAGGTTGGAAACAAAAAGGAAGGGAAAATATGGCCTTGATGATATAAACAATGCTGGAGATCGCATGACAGAATTTTGCAAGACCAATGACTTCTTCACTGAGAATACCATTTTAAAAAAAAAAACATAAAAGACGACTATACACATGACCTTACCAGATGGAATACACAGAAATCAAATTGACTACTTCTGTGGAAAGAGACTGTGGAAAAGCTCCATACCATCAGTCAAAACAAGGCCAGGGCAGACTATGGAACAGAGCATCAATTGCTCATATGCAAGCTCATATGAAGAAAATTAAAACAAGTCCATGAGAGTGAAAATATGATCTTGAACACATTCCACCTGAATTTAGAGATCATTTCACAACAACAGATTTGGTGCATTAGACACTAATGACTGAAGGCCACAAGAGTTGTGGGATGACATCACGAACATCATGCAGGAAGAAGCAAAAGGTCACTAAGAAGACAAGAAAGAAGGAAAAGACCAAAATGGATGTCAGAAGAGACTCTGAAACTTGCTTTCCAGCACAGAGATGCTATAGCAAATGGAAGACGTGAGGAGGTAAAAGAGCTGAACAGAAATTTTCGAAAGGCAGTTCAATAACACAACGTCAAAAATTATAATGAAATGTGCAAAAACCTGGAGTTAGAAAACCAAAAGGGAAGAACACGCTCTGCATTTCTCAAGCTGGAAGAACTGAAGAAAAAAATCAACTGTCAACTTGCAATATTTGCAAAATACTGAATGATGCAGAAAGCATCAAAAGAAGAAGGAAGGAACGCACAGAGATATCACGTGGACCTAAACAAACATTAGTTCATATGTCAACTATTAAATTTCTCAGTTGATAAGATGATAAATAATATTGCTGCTGTTGTTAAGTGCCCTGGAGTTGGTTTTAACTCATAGTGATCCTGTTGTAGGGTTTTTGAGGCTTCAAATCTTTTGTGGGAGTAGAAAGCCTCATCATTCTCCTGAGTAGTGGCTGGTGCGCTGAACCACTGACAACCTGTGGTTTGCAATCCCATGTTTATGAAGCCAGTGCACAAATGGGGCTAATGCACCCCTGGATACATAATATACTACATACAGTATAATCTTGAAAGAGAACACAGTGATACTTTCACTAGCTGGGACTAGTAAAGTAGTACTTTAATACACAAATCCTTGTAGTAATTGCTATATAAATAAATCAGAAAAGAATGACTACTGGATTTTTTGGCTATATTAAGTATTTTCATAGTTTTTCACATTACACAAACACAATTGTAATCTTTTTATGCTTATTCATTTACTTGCACATCCAAATTTTATGTTTCACTCATTAATTTTTTGAAATTAGATTTTCAGCATTAAATCATATATGAGCTTATTCAGTGTGCCTTTAGATAGTACCAGTTTTAGAACTTTTATGAAACAAAAAAACCTTATCTCTCCTGTTATAGTAAACTCCAAACAATATATTGATAACAAGCAAGCTAATTCAGATGGATTATACAATCTTTACTATAAATACATTGGTTGAAAGTCTTTTTGCTATGTTCTGATTAATACCAGCATTTCCATAAAAGCAAACATTTTAATTGCTAATCTATGTGCATTATACGTTTTTCTTTCTTTCTGAGGCACAAAATACTTGGCAGCAAAACTGGGAGTCGTAGGCAGCATTTTGCTGTAACTGAGGATTTGGAGAAAGAACAGATGTAAACTGAAATCAGAGGAGTACTTCAGAATGTGATTCACAATGTTAATTGCTATGAGACTAAAACCATAAGCCAGGGAAGATGGCAGACTCTTCTTTTTAAAATATCTGTTAAAAAAAGGTTTGGCTTACAGACCTACTTACAATACATGAACCCTCACAGTTCTTCCAGCATTCTTACTCTCCTGAATTTACACATTTGGGGAATTTGCCTGAGCTCCAGAAGAGCACACTTACGTATTTACTCACCGAACTTTCAGCTGTATCAGAAGCATTATCTTCCACAAAATACATTCCACATTTACCTGCAGAAAATAAGTTGATGGGAGACTTAAAAATGTATTTACACTCTTACCATCTATGACTTGTAGTCATTTAAAGCACGAGCTCTTGAGTGAGTCTGTCTGAATCTGAACCTCAGCATCTAAAAACAGTTCCTGGAGTGACACTGTACGATAAGCACCAGACTACTAACTACAAGTTTAGCAGTTCAAAGCCACCAGTGTCTCCTTGGTTGTTGTGAGGAGGAAGCGACTCATCAACAGCCTTTAACAACAATAACAATCTATGAGGTTTTGGGAAAGTCACCACGTCTATGTGTCTTGCTATTATGTTTGGACCTGTTTTTGCTACCATCCTGGCAGGAGTCCTAGTTCCCAGGATTACTCTGAGAATTCTATTAGAATATGGTCAATGCTTACAACCATGCCTAACACTCGGGACTCAATACACATTCTCACTGCTACTCTTCTGATGTTACAGGAATATTGACTTGCTTCATTTCGTCACACCAAATGAAGTTGTAAGCCACCTTTTTCAGCGAAGAGGAATCCTTAATTATTTTGCTGACTGAGATGCTCAATAGGGAAGTCTAGGGCCTAAAACACAGCCTGAAAGTGATTCCTGCTTCATTGGCTGTTGTGACATATGTCCTGTTTCCATGTGAGGAACTTTCCTGGGGTCTGCCACCAAGAGGCTGGTCATTCTTGAGGCCTGATTGGACCATAAGCCATGGGCATAGCTGATTCAGAGAAGGTCCTATCTTCATCCTTGAGATAAGGCCCTGTCTGGATGAGCTCGAAGGTGCACATCTTCAACCTTGGAGGCTGCAGCTTCAGCCTCCAGCTGTGGCTCTCAAACCTGGACTGCATCAGAATCATTGGAGGCCTTGCAGAATTTTAGATTCAGGAGCTCTGGACCCAACCAACACTGTGCATTTCTAAGACATTTCCATATGATACTAGTGCTTTTGGTTTGGAGACCAGTAGTCTACAGTATATAAATTTATTATTACAGGAATAGAGACCAAGTGGTAAAAGTTTATTCCTTCTCACCTAGAGGAAAAAATTTCCAGCAAACGTAACTATACAGGTATCTATGGACTGATATCTTTTCTTTTCTCTCAGAAGGACAATGTTGTTATTAAGTGCCGTCCAGTCAGTTCTGACTCAGAGCAACTTTGTGTAGGGTTTCCAAAAGCAGCTGGTGTGTCTGAACTGCCGACCTTGCAGTTAGCATGCCAGTGTTTATCGAGGGCTCTAGAAGCTCAATTGTGGTTACGTGCCGTGGAGTCGGTTCCGACTCACAGTGACCCTGTACAGGGTTTCCGAGGCTGTCAACCTTTATGGGAGCAGAAAGCCTCATCTTTCTCCCGTGGTACAGCTGGTAGTTTCAAACTGCTGACCTTAAGGTTAGCAGCCTGATTGGTAACCACTATGCTACCAGAGCTCCTTAGAAGCACAACAGAGGATATAAATGAACAATCTCAAGCTGGACATGTTTTTATGCATAAGCATGTCTATTAAAACAGTAGGCATTAAGTATAGAAATAAGGTTCATATTTAAAAAATTTAAATTGACACAGAATCAAAGGGCTGATTAAAAATAAAAATGTACACTCACGTAGAAAGTCAACATTGTAAAAATTAAAATGATTTTCATTTGCTTTTACAAAGGTATTATTTTTTCACATTCATAAGTCATATGAATTATATATGATGCTTAGGCAAAATAACTTATGTGATGTTGGAGACAGTTGCCTGATTTAATGGCAGTGTTTCTAAAAAAAAAAAAAAAAAAGTCAAAATATCTAAGAATAAAATAAGGCAGGAGGAAGTATGTATAAAACCCTCCAAAACTGGACTTACCCAATAACAATTCACCAGCTGTCTCTCTAGACGGTGCAACACTGAAACATCTTCGATTCACCCTGTCAAACATACTAAAAATTACTACGATCAAATGTTTTGACCAATTTTATTGAATCTATGCTTTATTTTATCTCGTAAAAGGTTTAAGCAAAGCAAACCAAAGTTTCAATAGCATAAGATGTCTTGTCAAAACCCACAAGAAAATACCGTCTCATTTTTCAACATCCTGACAGAGGAGAAAATGAAGCTTTTAGAATAAGTTAATTCCTATAACATATAGGCAGCCATTAGGGATTTAGTTATTTAAAACAGAACCCAATATCCTATCTTTTCCATTAAATGAGCAAAGAGTGGTTCGAATTCTGATTTCAAACACAGGAAAGACACATATTAGGTATAGGAAAAACAAAAAGCATAGAGTCAGAAAACTTCTCTTATTTTAAAGTCAAATCACTGATCTTTTAAGTCTCAGTTTTTCCATCTATAAAATGGCATGATGATAACAATGGCCACACCAAGACTGAAAATCATATTGATTAAAAACACTAGTTGCTGTGGAGTTGATTCTGGCTCAGGGTGACCTCAAGCTGACACATGTGTTTCAGAGTAGAATTGTGCTCCACAAGATTTCCAATGGCTGTGAGCTTTCACTATAACTCCTCAGGCTTTCCTTTTCAGGCACCTGTCGGTGAGTCTGAAGTCTCAACCTTTTGGTTAAAAGCTGAATGTTTAACTATTTGAGTCACCCAAGAACTCAACACTATTACCAATATATTGACCCACTTAACACACTTAGCAATGCTATATCTTGGGTGCTATTATTTTGTCCATTGAATCGATGAAGACATTGACACAGAGAAGCTAAGTAACTTGCCCCAAATGAGGCAACTAGTAAGATGAGGAACCAGAATTTGAGGTGTGGTGCTGCTGGATGGGCATTGGACTGTTAACTGCAAGGTTGGTGATTCAAACCCACCAGCTGCTCCTTGGAAACCTTATACTGGGTTGCTATGAGTTGGAACGTACTTGACAACACTCTATTGCCTCTATTGATACAACCAGCAGCTCTATTTCACAATATTTACAAAAGTCCACTAAAAATATATACAGAGTACAAAAACAAGTGTTAGCAAAGATAGAATCTTACCAATTCCAACCCTTATTCATTGCTGGCAGGACTGTAAAATGATGCAACCACTATGGGGAATAGTAAGGCACCAGATAAAGAGACCAAGTCTCATGAGAAGTTACCATGAATGGGGAGAGGAACTCTCTTGAGATAGCTGACACATTTTTCTCCTCTTGTTCTAGCAGAATCTGTCTGCTGTGGCCCTGATTAGAACACTTAGAGTCATCAAGGTAGATGAGGCTGCAGTTCATGTAGACCGTTAGTCCCGGGAGAGACAACATTGAGTGTGGCTGAATTGTACACAGCCTGACCAAGGTAAATGACATCAGTAAGACGTTCATAGGAGAAAAGGATAAACCCTAAACCATTGAGTCGACCCTGACTTACACTGACCCTTTATAAGCTTCCAAGTCTACAAATCTTTATGGAAGCAGAAAACCTCATCTTTCTCCTGAGGAGTGGCTGATAGGTTTGAACCGTCAAACTTGCCCATGTTTATCCTACAGAACCACTGGAGCTTTTTTGGCAAATAGGAGGGGACTTCAAAAATGTTTGTGGAAAAGTTCATGATCTTTTCATTCTTTTTCCACGGACTTTTCAAAGGCTCCTTGTATAAGAAATCACACTGGAGACATAGTGATTGGTATTTCTTAGATATAATCAAACACCTCATAAAATATGTAATCTGGGTTTGAAAGCTTAGGATCATAGTCTCATGAGACAGACAACTCAGTTAACTGGCATACTATAGTTCATAAATTACATGGTCTGCATCCCAATTTGGTAAGCAGAGAGTGGGGTCTTAAAAGCTTATGAGTGGCCATCTAAGATGCAACTACTGGTCTCTATTGTCCTGAACAAAAGACAGAGAAGGAAACCAAAGACTCAGAATAGAAACAGTCTACTAGACTAACGGTCTACATGAACTGCAGCCTCATCTACCTTGATGACTCTAAGTGTTCTAATCAGGGCCACAGCAGACAGATTCTGCTAGAACAAGAGGAGAAAAATGTGGGACTGAACTCAAATCTTAAACAGTTCACATTAACTGAACTGGTTGAGTCTAAGAGACTCCTTAAGACTATTATCCTGAGATATTCTTTAACCCTAAAATCAAAATTGTCCCAAGGTCACCATTTTGCTAAATAACAGATTGGCTGAGCAAAGAGTTCCTTTAAAAAATCATCTACATGAGATCAATTAGTCAAAAATTACTCTACAGCAAAACAAGGTCAGGGGACTGGGAAACAGAGTACAATCAGAATGGAATGAATGGGAACGCGGACTGAATAATCTGTGTGGAAATTGTTAAATGGAACCAAATCTGCTGTGCAAGCTTTCACCTAAAACACATTTAAGTATTATTTTAAAAAACACAGAGGCCATGCAACCAGCAATACCCTTAATTTCTTATGGATTTTAGCCATTCAACACTGTCCTCTTTTGAGCCACACAGAGAACATCGTTGGTTCATAACACCACAATGTAATCTTTAAAAAAATTGCACAAACACTACAATTAAGTATTAAAATCTTCAAATCCTCAGCAAGGGTGAAAAAGCTTTACATATACCTTATAGATTCACTTGCAGCTTTGTCTTTGACAGTAGAAGAGAATGAAGAATGAGTTTTGTCTTCAAATAAGTAAGAAAGGGGCAGTTGGACAAGTTCTGTCGAAGGAAGAGACACACACATATTATCTTTATCTACTGAACACAGTTGCTTGTTAGAATTCAATATTGAGCCAAGAAGTCACTATTACCTTTGGATTTTTGTCTGTCCCGAAGGAGATACTTATTTGGAATAGTTAAATAACATCTCTGTAAACGTCTCCGCTCCCGATTTGGTCCTTCAGTCGGATCCAGCTGCCATGAGGTTGGATAGTAGGCAGGGTCATACCAGACAGCTCTAGAGTGGAAGTCAAAGATTATTTTAAGTGGCAGTTGGGAAACCATGCAGCTTTAAAAGGTCATTATAGAGAATGCATGCATGCAAAGACTTCAACAAGTTCATGGACAAATGGAATGAAAAGGCAATGGAAATTTGTCATGAACTTTTTGAAACCCCATGCAATGTCAAACAAATTTATTCAGTTAAAAACAATTACTATTTCTACATTTAGATTTGTTGTTGTTGCTAAGTACCTTTGAGTCGATTCTGACTCATAGTGACCCTGTATTATTATTAGGGTTTCCAAGGAGTGGCTGCTGAGTTTGAAACTGCCAACCTTGTGGTTCAAACCAACCTTGCGGTCCAGTGCATAACCCTGCACAGTGCATACACAGTCCAATACACAGTGCATGAATTCTGAATCCTGACCAGCCAGTTTGCCTCCTGGGGTTAATCTCTGCTACCGGTGTTTTCATCTGTTAATTCTTAAAAAGACGTATCATGAATGCTATGAACACAATATGTATAAACATTGGGAAAAAATCATTTTCTAAATCAACTTTTTTTTAAGGTTTTTATTGTGGATTGAGTAAAAGCAGGGCAGATAATCAGTTTTACATTCAATAAATCATACACCTTGTTTCATTACAACAGTTATAATCCCTTCCATATACCATCACTTAAAAGTATTTCTCTCTATGCACTTCAGCTTTATTTAAAAAAAACAAAACAAAACAAAACAAAAAACCCAAAAACCCACTCAGGCATATATAATAATTTACACCACCAAAGGCACATTCTGTAAGTCAGCCTCCTGGGTGCCAGCTCTCAGTCGCTCTCTTTCCATGCATCTAGTCCTCAGCTGCTCTCTCTCTCTCCATGTCCCATCTCTGCCTCTGTTTCTGGTGTTGCTGCTTCTCTGGATAAGGTCCCGCATTCTGCTTGTGCTCTTCTCCCTTGATGGTCCTAGGGTCCTCTCTTTCTGAACTGTAAGATTAACTACTCCTCTGTTTTTGTTACAAAATTTCTATCTTTACAGTTGTGACAGTCACAATTATTCTTCCCTCCATTTAAGACAGTTTATTTTATCCTGCAATCTACCTGACTTTTCCACCACTTGGATCTCTGTTCCCGTGTTTACCTTCTCTCACACTGTAATTATTTTGATCATAGACTGACCTCCCAGATCCTCTGTTCTTACAATTTTATTCTGTTCTTGACTCTTCCATTTGTCGACTGAGTTCAGGTTGATGATGCCACGTACATCATTCTCTAGTTGTTGTCTGTTCTTGTTGATTCTCAGTCCACAGAACTTCCTTTAGGAAGTTTTGGCTTTGGCAAAGTCCCTTAGCTTCTGTTTATCCTGGAATGTTTTGATTACACCATCATAATTGATTGGCAGCTTTGCTGGGTAGAGGATTCTTTCAGGGTTTTAGATATGCCTCCCCATTACCTTCTTGCCTGCATGGTTTCTGTTGGGACATCTAAGCGTAATTTGATTTGCTTGCCTTTGTATGTAACACTTCTCCTTTTCCTAGCTGCTTTCAGGATTCTGTCCTTATTTTTCATTTTGGAGAGCTTGATTATGATATGTCTTGGTGATTTTCTTTTATGGTCTATCCTTCCTAGGGTTCGTTGAGCTTCTTGAATGCTTATCTATTCGCTTTTCAAGATAGTAGGAAAATTTTCTTCCAGAAGCTCTTCAACTATCTCCTCTGTAGACTTGTGTGACTCTTCCTGTTACAGAATGCCGATAATTCTTAAGTTATTCCTCTTCATGTTGTCCAACATGAATCTTAGGCCTTCTTCAGATTTTTGTATACTTTTTTTTGTGCTTGCTCATTTATCTTAGTAGTGTTGAGCGATTTATCTTCTAGCTCACTAGTTCTGGCTTCTAACTCTTTGATTCTACTCCTTTGCCCTTTCAGTGTATTGTCCATTTCTGATATTCTATTATTAATCATTTGGACCTCTTTCTGTAGGTTTTGCATTTTTTCCAATGCTGTACCCATTTTATTTGATTGTTCCTGTAGCACTTTCCTGACATCTTCCTTATTTTTCTCAACTCCATTGTATAGTGTTTTGATACATTTTATAATCACTTTTCTGAATTCCTTCTCAGGCATTTTCAAAGCCTGCCCATCTTCCAGTGTGGAGTGTAGGTTTACTTCCAGCTCATTTGCCTCAGTCACTTTTATCTCGTTTCTGGACATGTGCAGATATGGTCATCTGCTTCTGTTTTTTGGGGCACATTCAGGAGTTATCTGTGGCCTTAATACTTAGATGGGTGTGTATTTTGGTATGTTTTATGTTTTCTGATCACCTCTAGGTAGATGTGATCAGGAGATGGGCTTCCCTTTTCACTCATCTTCCTGAGAAATTTCAAGATGCCACTGTTGGTTGTTGTAACGTAACTCAGGATTTATATTTCCTTTTTAGTCTGCCTGTCCCGCTCCACAATCCCCGTTCAGGCCTTTTTCCTAGTGATAAACAGTGTGGCTGTTAAGTGCTGTCGTTTGGTTTTAAGTGGAAACCGTCACTTTCAATTTCTAGGCAATCTGTGCACATGTTTAGCAGAACCCTCCATGGGTAGGGTTGGCTGTCCACTCGCTCAGGCACCCCCTCTAGTCGCCTGAATGGAGGTGTGCAGCCAGCGAGAGACCAATGAACAGATTAAAATAAAATGTCCACACCTTTATCTCCCTGGTTCTGTCTGGTGTCTGTGGCTATTCTGATCCTTTCCATGCTTGGTGTTGCCCAAGATGGTAGCTCTGGGAGCAACTGAGCATCTTGAATTATAAAGCAATGGATTTCTTGCTTCTGCTACAAATTCCCCGAGCTGTAAGCCTTCCAACTTTCTATATATTCCTTTATATGTGGTTCAGAGTTCTGGCACCACCCCGTGAGCCTGCTTGGACCAGTATTCTGTGTTGTTGCTGATGGAGCTTCTCAGTGTACTTCTACCCGATCTGCCATCTTGTTTGTTCTCCCCAAATCAATTTTTTACATTTCCTATTTTGCCTTTCTAGTGTACCTTTCTGAAACTGAAGAAAATGAAAACAAGTCCATGAGAGTCAAAATATGACCTTGAATTTATCTCACCTGAATTTAGAGATCATCTGAAGAACAGATTTGATACATTAAACACTAAAGACCGAAGACCAGAAGAGTTGTGGGATGAGATCAAGAACATCATACGTGAAGAGAGCAAAAAGTCATTAAGAAGACAAGAAAGAAGGAAAAGGTCAAAATGGATGTCAGAAGAGACTCTGAA